CCCCGGGGTGCGGGGGGCCGCCCGCCGTGAGCAGCCCCCGCGCCGGGAAGCGGGGGTGGCGGGAGCCGTGGTTTGGTTTCAGTGGTCGTGGTTCTTCTTGTGCTTCGTGCGGAACGCGTCTGGGCCTCTCACCGAGAAACCGGTGGCGGTACTGGGGGTGGCCGGTGGTCTCATCTTCACAAATTTGGACCTCTGGGGCTGATCAGCTTCCTGGGCCAATAGTCTAAAGATTAGTTAAAGATGACTCCTCTGTTTAGCAGCAGAGTGAGAGTGGTCACCAGAAACTATACAAGTGTATTTCAGTTGAGCTGTGCAAATGGAATGAATTGCTGATTGTAAATTTATTTTTTTTTTTCCTTAAAAAGCTTAAACTGCTGGTACAAGAGCAGAAAGATAATCCGTATAACTCCTTGTGTATGAAGAAATCTTCCTCCTCCTCAGAGTTGGCTTAATGGTAGTACTACAGTTCATTTAAAAACAGTAATGTGGAGCCAGAATTAAAGCTGCTTCCGAAGCTAGCTGTTGAAGAACACTTGGGGGCTTTGCATTTGGCACCATCATGTGTTGTGCCTTCGAGGGTATAGTTGCTTGTCTCCCAGCCTTAGTCTTGCCGAAGGCTCAGTCCAGCCTTTCTGTGTTCGTCAGCAATGCGGGTCCTGGCCTAGCAAGTGATACCAGAGTGTTGATTCTGCTTTTCTTGAGTGCTTCAGCCCTGTTCTTCTCTCACTAATAGTGCACGGTCAGTTGTGTTGTCTGTATAAACCATTTCATGCAACTATGCTCCTAGGTATGAAAAACCAAATGGATTTCAATGACTTCAGGTAGTGGAGTTGAGACTTAAAGCCTATGATCTACTTCTTCGATGTAGGTTTTGGGTTTGTTCTACTTGAGTAAACATATTCCAAGGTGTAGCTGAGTTGATCACTGCTTAGCTCATACCTCTGTCTTTGTTGACGAGGGGATGCCAGATGCTGTCATGCTTTGTAAGTAGACAGAGGAAATATTGCCCTCCCTTAAAAGTATGTGCAGCCCCTAGCACAGAGAAATGGCAGTACTTCACCGTGTCACTTCTCCAGTATGCGGCACCACGTTGTTCTGTGTAAGCACCTCATCTTTCAGTATAGTAGAGTACCAACTCTCATCTAGTTATGAGTTACTCTAAACAGCGAGAGAGAGAGGATCAGGATTAAGTGCTGTGACATTTCTGTGTATTTCCAATTCAAATTTGAAAATCTGTTACGCCCAGAGAGGTGCAACTCTGAATTTTGCCAGCTATCAGAGTTTCATGGAAACTTCTAATCTGACCTCAGATGGTGGCTTTGCATATCCTGTCCGGTGCTCACTGCTCCAGAAATTCTTGCGTAGTTCATGACACTCATGCTTCTCCTAGGAGTTGTTTGTAAGAGGAGGTCAACTATTGCACGGGGGGGCAGGAGGAGGAGGTATGATTATATAGGATAAAATTAGGAAGTCAGCAGGAGCCAGAGGAAAATGTACTAGTTCAGCTGATTAGTTGTACTAAAGTTTAAATGGATTTATAGGCAGCTCTTTCTTCTTGTGTTTTGATAAGTCAAAAACTATGCTGTGGTTATAAAATCTAAATATGATGCAAGTTAAAAATTTCCTGTGATGGAAATAGCCACATGCATGTGGAGCCCTAGCTATTTATCTGCATGAGTTTAATGCTGTAGGAAAATAGGCCGATGGGAAAGTACAGCTAATTTTAAAGAGGCTGCTTTTTGTGTGAGCTGGGATCTAGAGGCAGCCTCCATCAGTATGGGAGTTTGGAGTTAAAACTATGGATGTACGTGCATTTGGTACTGGTAAGATGATGGGGGCAGGTATGTTTAGTGCATGGGGGACTTCTTGCTCATCTCCAACGTGAGATGGCCCACATCTTTGTGGATTTTACAGAGCTATGTGACAGCGTGTGTTTAAGTCCTTCGGTGCAACTTTGCTGCTGAGTGGAGGTCAGCCAAGAGTGAAGTAATTGAGAATGAAGCTGGGACAGAGTTGCGAGGTGTTGCTGAACCTGTTATTTGGAAGATGAAGCGCCCTAATGCAAGCTCATGCTCGGGTGTGTCCTTTGGTTGATGTAACACCAGTCACCTGTTGCCTCATTGAAGCAACTCAGTGACACCCATGGGTCCTTTGGAAAGAAGCACAGAAATCCTCAGAAAAGCATTAGTTGAAATGGGACAGTCACACCCAGAAACATCCCAAGGAAAGAAATGAAAATGATGGTCTGCTTCGGTTGACGAGTATTACTTCACGCACCCAGAGAGGGCTTAGAATATCTGAGATGCTTCAAATGCTGAGCTGAGGCACCGAATGTATCTCAGAAATGCAGCATGGAGTTCAAGCAGCAGTTGCAAGTCTTAGCAAAGCTTGGCCACAGGGTTTTATGGGATCTTGTACTGCTAGTTTCTGACACTTGTTTTGAACCAGATGTGCTAGGAATTTCAGCTTTAAAGGATTTCCTCTGAAACTTTCTCAAATGGTCTCTTTTTTGTTGTTTCAATCCTAAATGGTTTGAAGCTACAGATGTACAAAGGAAGCTGTATGTCACCCCCCACCTAACTTCTAATTAAAACATTTTTTTTAAAAAAATTACATTTCATCTAACACGTGCTTCTGAGTGTCCTTTCCTTCAAGAAACTAAAAAACAGGTTTATTTGAAGGGGCTGCATGTGGATTATCAGCCCTGTTAGGTGTGCCCTAGATAATATTGTCTGTATGTGAAAAACATGCTCATGCTGTTTGAAGCAAGTATATATTTCCCACAGTAGAAACGCTCTTTTTCTGGGGTTAGTATTGGGATGGGGATAGGTAGGTATTCTGAAAGTCGTTCCGTAAGCTTAAGGTAGTAGCCAAAAATGCATTCCTATTTTTTAGGAAGCAGTGCTGCTCAGTTTTTCTTTTTTAATAAAGAGGATATTATAATTAACTGTAGTATGGTGTGCATTTGTCTCAGTCAATACGTCCTTAGAAAGGATACCATTTGAGAATATATTCAAATTATGTATTTTTACCCCAATCCCTTACACTCCTTTTGTGTCTCCTGACAACTTTTACAAGTACTGTCACTTTCCTTTCTCCTTCTAATGCATGACAGTTCACATGTAGGGGAGAAACTAACTGCTTACATACAAATACATAAAAATCTATTTATTTTTTTTTGTCTGGAAGTCAGTTAGTTGCTGGTCAGGTGTGACCAGTCACACCCTTCCATGCAAGTGATATTTTTGGGATATGTTTTCTTAAAAATGTTCCGTTGAATGCTTTGAACTTGTTCATCACTTTCACTCCAGTTGGGCAATATGATGGCAGTCTTCAGATACAAGGTTCCTTTGAGTCCCTTTGAAAGTCAGCAGCTGAGTGGAGAAGAGCTGCTGATGGCTGAAAAGGGTATAATGTAACTGCAGCAGAGGCTGCAGAGCCTGTGTTATTGGAAGCTGATGTAAATGCCACAGGAAAAACTTTAGTCAGAGTTCATGTGTCATGATCATCTTTAAGGTACAAATTCATGGGTCAACTGAACTTTGCTAGTTCTCCACATTACTGAACTGAACTTCCAGAAAATCTTTTAATTACATAATACTCTTGAGTTGTGCAGATTAAGAAAAGCAATAGAATTCTATAAGCTGTTTTTAAAGAAATACTGTTGAAAGATTTTTCAAAAAATTCTGATCTCTGCCATTTTCTGTCTGTTTTTCTTCTGATTTAGAAAACTCTATGTGATGTCATTCTTATGGTTCAAGAAAGAAAGATCCCAGCTCACCGTGTTGTGCTTGCTTCAGCCAGTCACTTTTTTAACTTGATGTTTACTAGTAAGTCTTTTCAAAATTGTTTGATTATAAGCTTTTGTGATGATATCCTGTTAGACTTGTGGCTGACAGGCTGTTTATTTCATGAAAGTGATTAATTTCAGGGATAAGTATGTGAAGATTTCCTCATTTTGTGTCCTTCTTCCATTCATCTCAGTTCACCCTTCCCCTCGTTTTCCCTTTAACTCTCTTTTGATCCAGTGTTACTTCCTATGTAAGCTCTCTTCTTAGTTGGGGCCCATACACTGCATTAGAGTTGGTCTCCCTCCCTTAATCTGAAAATTGGGCGTTTTTACTCCCATGACAGAATTTGTCTGCTGCATTGCTTCCCATCATTAGGCACTTCCACATATAAACCAAGCTTTCAGAAGTGTAAACATTCTTGCATTTATGCTATCTTTACAAATTTCATTATGTAGTATCTGTCTTACTTTTGTATGCCCTGCCCGTGAATTGTAAAATTACCGTGCTATAAAACACACATTAAAGTTGAGTAGAAGTGAAACGACGGTGCCTTGCAATGGTCAGCCTGTAAGCGTCTGTGGGCAAACTTACAGTGCCGTGTCTGGATGTGGGGAGCTCAGAGCTGTCTCCATTGTTATCAGCTTGAATGTGGAAATAGCTTTTGACAGTGCAGCGTGTGCTTCGTGGTTTTGGTAATGCTAGCTTAGCAGTCTGCACTGCAGTCTATGACCTTGTCTATTTCATGCAGTTTATCATAATTTACATAATACAAGCATACACACGCACCAGTTATATTGTTTGTCTCACTGCCTCCTTTCTTTCCTGACTTGCATGAGTAATCCTGGGAAAACAGCAATCAACCGTGTGCAGTTTTTAGCAGGTTCCCACTTTGTGTAATCACTTTATTTTCTACTGTTTGCCAAACGTACAATAACTAGAGTGGCTTATTGATGTAGTTTGTCTCTTAATCTATTTGCAGCAAATATGCTTGAATCAAAGTCCTTTGAAGTGGAGCTAAAAGATGCAGAACCTGACATTATTGAACAGCTCGTGGAGTTTGCTTATACGGCAAGGTAGTTTTGTTATTTAAAGCTGATGCTTTTTCTAGGAAGTCTGCCAATTGTAAATAATAAAATCTTAAAATAATGCATTTATGATTCATAAGTTTTGTTACCATTACAATTCTTTACTTTGTTTAAAGCCTGATGTGACTAGACCTCCTATCCTTCTTCCCTTTTTCCTTTTTATTTAATCAGTAGGAAGCCTGACACACTAAAGAAAGCGTTTAGTTGTCTCCAGAAAGCAATTCAAAGCACTTCAAGCTCTTGACTTCAGTGTTGAAGTCAAATGATATTTCCCATTGTTCTGAAATTCCAGCTCTTATAGATACCAGTAGGGTTTCTCTTTATGGCCATGGTAGCTATTGCACAGAACCATTTCCAGGAGTTATACCTTCATCTCAGGACAGGCATAGTGGGAACTGTTCTGTGAACAGCATTTCCCTTCTGTCTCAGGTTGTCCATGCATTCTTTTTTTTTTTCTTTTTTTTTTTTAAAGAGCTTGTGCAGATGACTAGGATTGTAAACAGTGCTTCTTAATCAGTTATCATGACCAATGGATCGCAGGCCTTTCATCTTTGTACTAATGGGATTAACTCTCCTTAGAAAGGCTTTCTCCTTTCTTTGAGAGGAATCTTGTATACTCCATCAGTGGTGAGAGACGGTCAGTGTCAGCACCAGAGCTGTATGGCTGCCTCCCCTGGTGTCCAAGCCCTTGTCTGTGGGCTTTGTACCTTCTCTTGAAGCACTGCCAAAACAGTTGTTCTGCTTGTGCACTCTGAGCAAATCAGCCAGAGCAGTCTTGACAATGAGTTTAGACAGATTTTGCTGATGCCTCTTTGGAAGTAGGAGACTGCCAGAACAAAAGTTCTGTTAATTTTCTGTTTTGTGGAGGTGGCTAATCACACAAGTCAGAGCAATAGCATGGTACTGCAGAGGGCCTGTGTTAAAGTTTTATTCTTCAGAATCCAGAACTGTTTACTCTTTACCCTTCCTCAGTAAAGTAGAGCAAATGAAAGCAATTTGGAAAGATCATGGAGGGAGGTGGTGTCTTCAGACTGTATGTGAAAGATTCTTGGGCAAATAACAGGGAAATAATTTTCCCATTGATGCATTGATGTGGATGAGTGTAAGTTGCTTTTTTTTTAATACATCAAAGTAGGTAATTTTAGTGATGCTAATTTTATGCCTTTTGTTTTGCAGAATCTCAGTTAACAGCAATAATGTCCAGTCTTTACTAGATGCAGCAAACCAATATCAAATTGAACCTGTGAAAAAAATGTGTGTGGACTTCTTAAAAGAACAAGTTGATGCTTCCAATTGTCTTGGTAAGAGAAACGCAGACTTCAATTTACTGTTTATTTTTTAACTTTGCTGTTCCTGAAAAATAGATAGTATTGTCTAAAAGACAGTAATACTTGGCTAAATCCAGGCATGTGAAAATAATTTTGCTCTGAATCTGAAGTGTTGTCCCTTCCCATAGACAAAACAATCTGGTAGTTGTCTTGCCAGTATCAGGTTCCACTGACTGTGCTGGGTTTCATCCCAGCTTGGCAGCACCCTGGAGCTTCTTGTTTTTAGAGAACCTCAGCTGTTTAGTAAGGTGGAGCTTTCAGTTGTTATGGTACTTGGAGACAGAATTTGACAGAGTTGTAATTTCTACAAAATTAGTGTATCTTCTAAAAGTATGAACAGGATAAATTTAGCTTACTTTTGGTTTTGGTTGCTCTTCATTTTGACTGAAATCCGTGGACTTCATTTGGGCAGGTCTGATATTTAGTATGTTCTGTAGCCCTAATGTGAGCTCAGTGTTACAGGAAAGGTAAACAACAAGTAGAACTAAATGCCTTTTCATGCTTAAGGTTTGGTGCACTTTATTTAATCAGATATTAAAGATAAACTTGTTTATAGGGTTTCTTATCGATGTTTGTCATGTAATTCTCCTAGAAACATCTCAATCATGTTATAGATGTTTATAATATCAATAGAAATGTTTGCAGAGTATCTGAATTATAATGATTCGACTGACACTTTGATGCAGTACAGCTGTGGCTCTGAAACAACTGCCTGAAGAAAGACATTATTTTCTAAGGAAGATGCCACTTACGCTTGCTTTGAGGGATGTTCAGTCCTCTGTGATTTTTGTTAACTAGAGAATTAATTATGGTCTCTAACACTTTTATACTTTGTTGCTAATCTATAGCAAAAAGAGAGATAAAGATTAAATCAAATTTTCCTCAAGGCATTGTTTACAAGTTGAAGTGTGTTCTGTGCAGACTTATAGGCAAGTCCACAGTTAATTTATTATTTTTTTTTAAAGAATGTATTTGAAAGAAACCGTGGCTTGTTTTGAATCTCTTAAAATCCAACCTCCTGACAAAGTTTCATCTTTCTAGTTTGCATTGTACTACTTAGAGGAGCTTAGGCTAGTTGCAGCCCATTGGTTGGTGAATTGCTTCTACCCCACTTGCCATCTCCTCTACAGAAGGAGGAGGAAGGCTTAGCATGATGAGCAACAGTTGCTGCTGAAAAGCTGTATGCTTACCTGTTTCTAATGGGAAGGTTGGAAACAGCGCTTCTCAGGAGCAGTCGCTATTTATACCTTTATGCCAACCTCCCCTTGCAGCAGCATCAACTTGACTTTTTTTGTATTGGTCTGCAGCAGGCTCTGCTACTTGTATGGAAAAGTCCCAATTCGCTGTGACTCTTGAGGGACATTTGGCTTGGTTGGCGATTGCTGCTGCATAAGCAAGTCGGGGAGGTTATAAAATCTAGATCCAGTTTCTCAAGCTGTTCTGGTTAGAGTTTCTTTTTGTGATACAGCTCAGACCTGGTTAAGGTGCTGTTATCTGCTTCGTAACGGGGAAAGAAACAGTGAGGAGATAGTGCTGAAGATACAGTTAATACAGCAAGTGCTTGCAGGTCTGACTGTCCAATTATTTCGGTGGGGATAGGGATCAGCAGCTTGTGCTTATTTTAGTTTGTCTTGAGTTGTGGGTGAGTTAAGACAGCATGTGTTTTAGAGGAAAAAGAAAAAAGCATGGTAATAAATATTAAATTGGGGTTACATGTAGCACTGAAATTACAGTAATTTTATTGTATTTTAATATATTAAAGGTAATTGCAGTTCAAGTTTGGAAGGGTTTTTTCTTAATTTTTCCTTCATAGGTATAAGTGTGTTAGCAGAATGCCTAGACTGTCCAGAACTGAAAGCCACTGCAGATGACTTTATCCATCAGCATTTCACTGAAGTTTACAAGACAGATGAGTTTCTTCAGCTTGATGTTAAGCGTGTGACACACCTCTTGAACCAAGATACGTTGACGGTGAGGGCAGAAGACCAGGTGAGATCCCTGTTTCATACCAGCTAAGAGCATTGAACTTCACTATCTTTTTCTGATCCAGAACTGTTTTAAAGTATCTCACTTCTGATATTCCTATGGAATATGATGCACATAGCGCTTGCTAAATTGTAGAATAAAAGGTGCATCCTAGCGTGGTCAAAACCAAATATTAATGAATATCTGCATTTCAAGTGTAGTTATTTTATGTGGTGTTACAGCAAACAAGGAAGGAAGAAGTCATAAACAGAATAAGCAAAACAGTTTCCTTCATCGAGATAGCTATAAGGCTTCTGATTCCATAGTACCTGAGCTGAATTAAGCTTGATGTATTATAGCTGTTGTTCCTACATTGGGGTTCATGTGCTGTTGGTGAAAGTGAACTCCTTTAAAGCGCTAAGCAAACTGCACCTTAATGGCTGCACGTCTCTACCTGAGTTATGGTCTCCTCTCATTTGAGAGAGGAGTTGCTTCTGATGAAAACATGCATACACAAGTTAAGCTTGGAACTGAGGGACTTGGAAGCAAGATGAACAAAACACTGAAAGCTAGATACATTGACAGTGATGGATTGATGGAAGGCCCTTATTTAGGGAGTGGACACAAAAATGTTCAGGTGGCTCAAAGGAGCCTGAAGTTTCACTCAAAAGTTGTAACCTGTGGTAGAAATTACATTCACAGCTGTCCCCTTTGGAAAGCTTGATTCAGCTTACAGCATAGCCCTGAATGCTTCACCAGCTTGTTCTTCTTGCTGCAAGCAAACAGGAAAAGTATAGATGTGTCTGCACTGCGGTCCAAAGAGGTGATTGCAGAATGGTTGTAGCTGCTGGGTACTTCTTGTAGCTTCTCAGTCAAATCTATTGAAAGCACACTGAAATCTTGCCTTTCTAGCTATGCTGTTCTGGTGCTTGAACTAGGTAATTTAAGTTTGTTTGGGTATGTCATCATGAGTTGACCTTTGAAGTGCAACAGAGGGATCTCATAGTCAAGATGGTATGTGTATACACTTAGATAGAAATGGATGTTTTCCTGACTCTGAAGTTTAGCTTTCATAGAATTAATGCATTTTCTTCAGCATATCTCTTGCAGTAAAAAGCTTCAATGAAAGTAAGAATTACTAAGAGTGGGAGATAACGTCAGGTGACTAGAATATGATAGTTGGCTAGTTCTAAGTATAAATATGAGTTTGTAAATATGTCACAGTTCAGCGCTCTTGCCATGTGCTGGGCAGGTCACAGGGTAACATTCTCAAAGCTGGAAGTGGTGTTTAGCTTGCAGCCAAAATGACACTTTGGAATTTACATTCCTGAAGTTCTGTTGGTAAGGTAGGGATGGCATGCTTTAACTTGGCAGCAATGGCAGAAATCTCGTGTAGGCAGCATGGCATCATTAAAATTCCTTTAGGAACATGGCAGTGTGCAGTATGAAACTGCAGAAGTTTGCCAGTGATACGAAAGGAATCTTATTTCTCAGGAGTACTGCTAGAAAGTTGACATTATACTCTAACTTTTGTATTGGGGTAAAGCGTATATACATTTAGCAAAAAAAGGAAGGTAGCTTTAAAGGTAGCTTTAATTACTAGATTTCCTGTTTTTCCTGTATGCACGTAATGGTTCTGTTGATGAAGGGCTACAATATTCCTGTCCCAGTCATTCTGTTGAATTTCCTTAGCTGATGGAATTGACCCTTAAATACTTATTTTTTTCTTGCTTTACTCTCCCTTGCTCCCTAGTCATTTTGCAGGGTTATAGCTGACGTGGTTTAGCAGTCCTTCTGAATAACTCTAATTCTGCTATTATATATCCTTCCACATTGTATATCTCAGTCACTCACTGCTGATGACTGCGATCATTGGTTTCAGCTATAGGAGTAGGTACTGACTGTGCTATCACATGTAAGGACGTTAGTGCTGACTCTGAAGTGGCAGCACAGTAGATAAGCTTGCTATGTCTGAGAGCAGCATTGAAGTATCTTAGTACATAGTTAATACTGGATTTTCATTTTGTTCCTTCCTGACCCAGAGGACAATCATAAATAGAGCAGATTTTTCGGTTACCCTCCCTGTTTTGTCTTCCCTTGCCCCTAAGAAAACCCATTATCTTTTCCTGTAAAGAGCAGCTGGAGAGGAGGCTCTCTGAATGGTAAATTTGCAGCAGTCTGCAGCTAAAAAACTTTAATTTAAATGGTCCCCTAAGACATGACAATAGCAATATATATGGTTTGGTAACAGAAGCAGTTTGTCACCTCAGGAGACTGTATCAAGCAGAAGCTATTTCAACATTTCCAGGGAAGTATTACCTGTGTTTGTGACATGGAACTCGAAACAGATTAGTTTTAACCTGGTACAGGGTTTGTCCACATTAATGTGAATTGCAGACTCATGCTTCCCATTTGGAGAGAAAGAAAGAAAAAAAGGCTAAAAAGCAGTAGTAGTGTTGTGCGTTTTTTTGAAGTTTGTAGATGGGTTTTATTCTGTGCTTGTGCATTTCTTTTACTACATGTCTGAGCATTGTCTTTTCTGGTGTTTGGTTGGTTGTTTTGTTGTGGGGTGGGTTTGGGGTTTGTTTGGGGTTTGGGTTTTTTTGGGGAAGATGGCGATGGAACCTCACATACTAAACTGTTAGTATAAGTTAACCTCCAACAGGCAGAAGAATCAGTTTGGAGCATTGAGGTTTCGTTATTTGTCATACTGTGTGGTGATGTGCCTTATCCTTTTCTTTCCTTCCCTCTTGTTTAAGGTTTATGATGCAGCAGTCAGATGGCTGAAGTATGATGAGCCAAATCGCCAGCCGTACATGGTCGACATTCTTGCTAAAGTCCGATTTCCTCTTATATCAAAGAACTTCTTGAGTAAAACAGTTCAGGCTGAACCACTTATTCAGGATAACCCAGAATGCCTTAAAATGGTGATCAGTAAGTTGACCTCTAGCTAAAATCTTTAATGTTCTGTATAATTAAAAAAAAAAAACACCACTGTGGAATTTTTGAAAATTGTTTGCTTTAAAATGCTGTGACAACATTTTCACGTTAAATTCCTGTGACTGTGTTCCATCTAGGATGCTGTGTTTAGTTGAAGTTGGATTAGCAGATTATCACGTAAATAAAACCCATCTTATGTAACAGAGTGTGACTTTCATTTCTTTTCTCCTAGCAAATGACATGAACTCCATGATGAGTAACGGAATGGAGATTTTGTCAATGAGTCGTTAGGGTAATTGGAAGTGTCAGTGTGCCTTTGGGACAGGCTAGTAACTTCAATATTGTTCATGTTCATATGTGAATTAATAAAGAAATGTTTTACCTAAAAATTTTGAATATTACAAAGCTTCCCTAAGCAAATTAGAATGTTCAGCATTTGTTGTGCTCTTTTCACCTCTAAGATATGCCTATGTTCAGCCTACAGACAGTTGCATTCTCAAGGTGCAGATGAGATGGGGAACAAGCTTCACTTCTGGTTTTAGACACCATTTGTGAAATTTTACCATGTGAGAAAGAAAGGCCTAGATGTTGATAAATACTCTGGAAGGAAATCTTTTAATTTCGGTAGCGATTAACTAGTTGGCTTCATTTTAGTGTTGATCTAAAAAATGATATGCAACTATTTTCCATCAGTCAATGAGCAAGAGTTAAATTAACCTATATGTTAGTAAGTGTTTGCTGACCATCGGCATCTCAGTCATACTTGTGTGACATGGAGTCAGGTGCATTGTCTAAGAAATAAGGATTTCTGCTTGGCTGATTGTAGTGGCTTGTAATGTCACTGGTATTTTTGCATTCTTTCAAATGTTTCTTAGGAGAATGCTTATTTTTTTTATACCAATTGTAACTAATATTTTGCATTGTCAAGCTAAGAACAAAAGTGAGGGTTTTTTCATGAGGTACTAGAGATTCCTTCCTTATTAATCAGAAATTGGGGGGTGAGGAGTCAGGCATGGTTGATTCCTCATTGCATTCAAGTCCCTTCTTTCAATGTTAGTATTGTCTTCTTTAGGCTCCCAGTTCTGCCATTCCTTTTCTTTGGGTTTGTTTCCTTCTGCCTGTTTCAATGCGACAAATTTAGGTGCTTGTTAATAATGGCTAAATGAGCCGACCAATAAATTGCTATACAACGTGAGTCCATATCCATGTCCTGTTTTCACATGGAGCAGGCAATTTGAAGTGGGATGTAAATCTGGATGTGTGCTCCCATCCTCATGCGCTGTTGTGCATTCTTCGCTTTTAAATCAAAGCTGTATAGTGTAATGTAGAAACTTGGTTTCCCCCTTTTTCCCTCCCCTCTTCCCCCGCTATCACTGCCTCTGAAACATCCCTTTCCATGTATGAGCTACACTGTTTCTGCAAGAGTTGTTGTCTTCCTTCCAGGTGGGATGCGATATCATCTACTCTCTCCAGAAGACAGAGAAGAGTTAGTGGAAGGTACGCGGCCAAGAAGAAAAAAACATGATTATCGCATTGCTTTGTTTGGAGGCTCACAGCCCCAGTCCTGCAGATATTTTAATCCAAAGGTAATCGTTACCTCAGAATGCATTAAGATTCACTGTTTGTAATCTTGTGTGTTCTATTTGCTGATGATATTAACTAAGACATAATGATCTACAAAACGGTATTAGGAAGGATGTATTCTCTGCTTCTTGGGTATACAGTTGGAAGAGTACGGTTAATTAGGTATTTTCAAATCTGTGTATCTAGATGTAATATTTCATTTTGAATAGAATTATTATGTGTTTGTTTATTGGCAGTATTAGATACGGAGTTCTGATAAATCCATCTGAGTTGAGAATTGATTGGTATGTGCATCCCACAGCTGGAAATAAATGAAAAGTCACTGAAACATCAAGCAATTAGTTAGGAATATATGAAAGTCCGTATGCATGTGCATGAACGTATCCATTCAGAAAATAACTCAAAGCAATTTTTTTTTTTAGCACAAGTTAAATTATTGGCTCGTATGCTCATGTAGAACCCAATTTTAGACTGCAAGGTAGTTTTTCAGTGCATTTACTATAAATATGCAACCACTTCTAAATCCCAATGTTTTACAACTTTGTTAAGAGTATATAAGGAGAATTGGGAGGCAAGTACTATGTAAATAGAAGAGTGAGTTTCTACAACAAAAAATTTAGAGATGGCCGATTTAGAACAAGCAAGCTTTGCCTGAAATTTGTTTCCATGTTTCCTTAATAAAATCAAGCCACAGGAATGGTGTATATTTCAGCTATGCAGACTAGATGGTCTAGAAACATCAGCTGCATGCAGAAGGATTACCCCATACTCTGTTTTACCTGGCAAGCACATGCAGTAATACAGAAAAAAAGTTACTATGTAAGCATCAGGGCTCTCTAAGTTATGAGATCACATACATGTAATATTTTGTTGCAAAAATTCTGGGTACTCTAACTCAGCATATTAAATGCTTATTATACTTTCAAACAATTTTGACTATAAAGTTTGCACAGATAACACACAATGTGAGCCCTGTCAAATCTCATTCAGAATGAATGAGCTGTGGGGATGTGTTTTGAACTCATCAGCCACATTCCTTTACGTAAGATAAAATTGAAGCTGCCTTCTTTGAGCATCACTCAAGTCTGGAGGGAAAAAAAAAAAACCCCAAACCCTGCCAGCTTTGCTGACTTAGTTTGAGAGACATTTAATACATATTTTTAATAGGAATTACAAATTCCTAAATAATGACCACCTTTTTCCTTTATACACATACTCAAGTAAGATAAGCAGTACTCCAGCTGGGGGTGAGGAGGTGAGGGAACAGAGCAGGTAATTCTTTCCTTTCCAAAGTCTGAGCCGAGGAAATCTTTGATTAAGGCATTCATCCTTTTCAAGCAGTTACTTGGTTTTGGCGTTTTAACAACTTGTCATTCACCCAGTATGCTCTGACCTTTCTTCTATTAGAAGAAAAACAGACCAAAGTTTTTCTCTTAATCTCCAGTTACTTATATTGGAACAAAGCTAATTTTAGTCAGGGTGGAAACTAGATTTGAGACTTTTTGTGCTAGTCATTAATTGGCAGCGGTGGTATCAGCATAATGTGCATGCGGTCTCTTTACCAACCTAACAGATAGGTTAAATATCGTAAGTGCCTAATGTCAATGGTGGACAGAACTCAAAAGATGAGGGTTGTTGCTTCATTGCTCTTTATAAACTAATACAAGCCTCCTTGCCCCCAGTTATCACCTTGTCTTTTCTGAAAACTTAATCTTGGTTGAAAAATAATAATCTCAGTGCATGCTGAGTGGCAGTGACAGGCAAAGACGATTAAAGGAAAATTATGTATGTAGTTAGGTGATCTGCAGTCAGACCTAAACTATAATGTTATGAAGAAATCTGTTTTGTGGACAAAAAGTCATATCTATGTAGGTCTACATAAAGCATAGGATAAAATAGCTTATTTTTTTCATAGACTGTCCAGGCGTAACACCAAAAAAGAATTGAGTTTGGAAGAAATTTTGCAGAACAGCCTCTTGATCAAGCTTTATGGCCTTGCATGTGGACTAGGGGAGGGGGGTGCAGGGAAGGAAAAGAAAAAGTGGGTAATTGGAGATCTTGATTCTAACAAGCATGTCTTCCTTGAACGTTTTCCTAGTGCTTGTATGCTTTCTTGGATGTTCTTAGCTAGCCTGTCGTGTCTTGTTGAATAGCTTTTACTTACTTCATTTCCAACTCTAAGCTATTTAAAGGTCCTTTTCTGGATGTTTTGCTTGAGTATCTGAGTTTGATCTTTAACTGTGACAGTAGCTTCTTAAATGCAACAAACCAAGGATCCATAACCCCCGTTGAATTAGCATCATGCTCATGCAAAATAAGTGTGAGATGTAAGGCTCCGATGCTGCAAAGACCATGTCACATTTAAGTCTCTTTAATTAGTATCATCAAAAGATTATGGAGTGTCACAGAACAGAGAATTAAGGTTGTGTGTGTACTTTTGCAAGGTTAGGACCTTGGGAAAGAATTGAAATTTTGTTTGTGAACTGATTGGGTAGTGACCTAGTCCTTCACTTGTGATTTTAATGACATTCAATAATTTAATTAAATTCTTAGATGTCAGCTAAAGGAACAGTTCAAACAAAGGTTATGTTTTTCTTGACAATACTTTCTCAGTTGTAAATGATAGAAATTTCAATAATTCTAACACTATAAAACTAGTACAAGAAATTTTAATTTTCACTGATTGCTTTGCACGCAAAATTACTCTCTAATGTTGATCTTCATTTCCTTGTTGTCAAAAAGGGCTCTTTAAATAAGAATGGATTGGATATTGTGTGTTGTTTGTTGAGACTGTTAGTAGTATTACTTTGTCTATATTTGTTGTCTTTGCATTGTAACTGATATTCCTATTGATGCATGTACTTCATCAAGAAAGGAAAATGATGCAACAGGACAGATGCAGATGGGCATAACACTTGTGGAGCAATCTGGCACTATTTTGAGTAGAGATGTTTGTTTTCAGAATACTGCTAGAAATCCTAGATGTCCTATTAATGGTGGTGGGAAGCATTTTCTTGTTGAATTTTTTACATTATATTTTTAGAAAGCTGCTGCTTTTTTTGTTTTCCCAAGTTGGAAATAAAATACTTTTTGTTTTATGAATTCTTGATAGAAGTGTATATCGGACTTTAGGGGATTTTGAGGCAGTAATATGCTTATTCTTTTGAAATTGCTGTCTCTAGTGACTGGAAATGGCTGGAAGTTTTATCTTTTTAACAGTGCAAAATCCAGCAACAGCAAGTAAAAAGTAACAGATGCCTGGCAATGGTATTTCTTGATGATTAAGCGAACCAGCATACCTGTTATGAGGAGACAGAGCTGTAGCCAGTAAGTTATTAGTGGGGAAGTTGTCCATATTGGGCATGTCTGCAGTTTTCCCTGACAAACTTGGAAGAGGAGGTATCAACTGAAAACAAGGGAAAAGTCCTAAACAAAAGGAGTAACTTTTTCACATGGCCCATAATTACACATGCCATTCTTGTCACAGGGTCTTGTGGCTGCTAGGAGTTCACGTAGTTTTAATAAGTGATTAAATATATTCACGAAAGAGAAAAAAGCCTTTCCAAACCATTAAATACAAAGGTATAGCTCCTGCCTCTGGTGCCCTGCATTGTAAGTTGTTGAAAAAGGTCAGCAGGTAAAGTGTCACCATATATCTGTCTTGATCTTTCTTCCCCTACTCAGCGCCCCAGAAATGAGGCTTGCCACTGCCCAGGGCTGTGTGGATCTTGACTGTGGCATAAAGCAACTCTTCCGCATAAGTCTTAAATGTGTAAAATGCATAAATTGAAATCAGTTTTATGTGGTACAGACACACTGAAGAGCATTACAAGAGAATGATCTTAATCATCTCCTGCTGA